TGTGCCCAGAGTAGGGGTTCAAGACATGAGAGTCCCCACAGTAGCCTTGGTTCACCCACCTCTTCCTGGGGGGCCTCCAAGTGCCCTCGCCAAGCCTCATACCTATTGCTGGTCCAGCTTCCAGTTTCCTCAATAGTCCAAAAGCCCCGTTACGGAGGGGTTTGGGGCTTGGCTGCGTCCTGGGCTCCCGAAGGTGAGGGATGGCTCCCAGAGGCCGGGCATCTGGCTGGACACACTCACCAAAGGGACAGGGGAAGTGCGCGTGGCCAGAGGAGCTGGACAACCCTGCCCCTCCCCGGCCCAGACAAAACACCAGGTTCAAAGCCTGTGCCTGCGTCCTGGGAAAGTCTGCTTTAAGCTCTAGAAATGCTAGAATTTCTAGATTTCCTCACTCAGCAGCACGGTGAAGGTCACGGTGAAGGCCAGTGAACCTCAGCAGGCATCTGTGTTTCATGTGCGGAGCTCTGATCTCCTCACTCAGCAGCATGGCGGTAATATTTCCAAGTAGTGTTTCCTCAAAAGCATTGGTGCCTGTGAGTTTTGCGTGAAGTCCGAGGTGTTGTATCGAGTCTGTGCGAGGGGCCTGGGGCGCCCGGTCCTGGGCAGTAACACGATGCCGGTGGTGACAGCGGTGACGAACAAACACTAGCACAGCAGCCCTCACGCCCTCACCCCAGGACGATCCACACTGACAGGAGAACCCAGGCTTGGGGAGTTTGTGGGGGTCCCTCGTCACCCAGCTACTGGGGGGCCAGCTCTCCATGCCCAGTCTCATGACCTTTATACACACCTTCACTTTCCACCTTTGACCTCAGCTCAATGTTGGATGGCATAGTCCACACCCGTTTTGAAAGTCCCTCCTGCAGGGCCGACGACGGCCTCCAGGACCCAGGAGGGTGGGGGCTGTGTGTCCAGCACCGCCCTGCCTGTGCTGCAGGGCGAGGAGGGGGCTCCCTTACTGTGAGCAAGGCCCACCCCAAAGCAGGTCACAGCGCAGGGAGGATGAGCATTTGCCCTCAGCACTCCCAGAGCGAGGATGCCTCATGGTGGGTGCGGTCAGAGGAAGGGTCTGTTTATTGTCTTTTTTTTTCTTTCCTGATGGGGGGTTTTCAGGGACCCTGGGAGATCACTTCCTCCAGCTGTAATTTCTAGATTTCCTCACTCAGCAGCATGGTGAAGGTCACAGTGAAGGCCCTCTCCCTCTACAGAGGTGAGTGGCTCCTCCAGGGCTGCACAGCTGTGATCAGCGGGGCCGGTCTGGAATCGGACCTGCCTGACCCTACGCCTGCTTTTCTTCTGGGTGAACCCCCTGGCCCTCGGGGGCTCCCTCGCCCTCCCTGTGAGCACCCAGAGGCCCCTTGCTTTCGGCTTTCCCGTCCTCTGCCTTTGAGACAGAGCTCACCGTCAGCCCCATCCACAGTTTACTGTGATCTAGGGGCCACGTTTCCTCTCCTAGGGAACAGCATTTTAGCTTCATCTCTAGTGTGGAGTGGAAGCTTTCTCTCTTCCTTCCCAAGGTTCTGGCTGAAGGGGGAACTGAGAGAAACAAAGGGGAGTCCGGATGCTCCCCTTGGCTGCCTTCTAAGACATTTCGACTCAGTGGCCAATCCAGTGTCCACTGTCTCCATTGCCGTGGGCTGAGGTGTCTCTCTCCAGGGGTGCACCTGCTCCTTGAAGCTGCAGTTCCTCCGGCGAACCTGGCCCTCACAGGGGCTCAGAAACCCCTGGGGGCGACCTAAATGTCACCCAGCCTCTGCACTCTGCTCCCTGCTTTTAAAGAGATGGCCACCAGAGGGTGCCATTGGCCTACGCTTCTCCAGCCACCAGGTCAACCAGAAGTCTAAAAGCAACCCACGTGCACCAACAGGGACTTGAGCTTGGGTCCCAGCAGGGCCAGGCTTCCCCCAGAGCCCACACTCGTGGATGGGGAAGCCAGCCCCACAGCGGCCCCCAGAGTACAGAGACGGCTTTCCTGAGCCCTGTCCAGGCTGTGCACAGAGAAATATTTGTAGGCAATAGCAAGAAAACCTGTGGTTTCTTATCCCTATTTTACAAACGAAGAACCCAAAACATAGAGAGTTTTAAGCTAGAAAGAAGTCAGCTTGTCCCCTGTCCCCCAATTCTCTGTCCTGGCTTACCTCCACCCTGGGGAGTGACGGGGAGGCTTGGGTGAGCACTCCTCAAAACACAGTTCTAAGAAAGGACACCCCAAGAATAGGCATGGGTGGAACAGGGGGTTGGAAGCCAGGTCCTGGCCCAGGTCAGCTGTGGACTTGTTGTGACTCGGGGCCTCCCTGACCATCAGCGGCCGGCACCAGGGCCTGGCTGTCCCACCTGTGTTGGCACCCAGTGACCCTCCCTGCCGCCTTCCTTCACCTCCTTCCTTCACCCCCTTCCACACCTCCCCTGCCCGCCGGCTGCTGAAGGGGACGATGAGCATCGCACACTCAGGGACGATTATACGTATCAAATGTGTTAACTGCCCCACAATAACCGATAACTCCCGAGTGCACCTCTGTGCTCTGAGTGAAATGATTTATGTTGATGACACCGGTTCCCCGGGTGACCACGTGGGTCACACAGAATCATTCCCATTTTCACTTGAGAAAACAAGCCGAGGAAAGTTAAATCAGGGGAGAAGCTTTGCCCATCATTCAGCAGCAAAGCCGGCATTTGGACCCGGGTCCTCTGTATCTCCACTCTGCTGCCCCTTGCTGGGCTTTTGCATCGAATCCCCAAAAGCAAATTACCTGCTCTTCTGTAATTATTTAAGCCGGAAACTATGGAAAACCAGTGACAACAAAAACCACATCCGATTCTCCATGCAGAAATCCTAATTGACAGCGTGGTCTTTTTATGGACATGTTTCATACTCATGTATGAATATATGTACTTTACCCAGCCCCTTGCCAATGATGGCATGTTGCAGCCTGTTTCTCTGAGTAATATTATTAGAATGTAAGCATCTCTCCATATCAGTAAATATTCTACCTCCTATTTTTCATTGCCGCATAATGTCACATCACCTGGATGCTCTGAGATTTATTTAGCCAATCCCCGACAGCTGGACACTCAGGTCAGCTAGAATTCGGCAGAGCAGTGGCCAGTGCTGTGGCGGGCCACCCTGCAGCTGATGTTTAATTCTGTGGGAGGAGCGGTCGGAAGTGGAGAGGAAGGCCCTGTCTGTATTGGCCGCTCTTTAAAAAGGCGGCAGCAAGCCAGGCCGAGTAGAAACCTTGTAGACAAAAACATGGCCCCTTTGCTTTACTCTTGGGAAAGAACGTGCCATCGGGCCCTTTCAGAGCCACCGTGTGCCGTTCCACGGTGGGGACAGGGGTGCCTCAGGGGCTGGGAGCACCCCTCGCACCCAGCTACGCGAATCATCCTCCGGGAACCATGATGCCGCCAAGGAGCTTCGTGCCTGGACACGGCGGCTTTCCCCGTGTCTTCTGACGCAGCAGAGTCAGGGGCCCTGGGAGGCGCCTCCCACTGGGACCATGTGACCTCCTCTGGTCTTGGAAGCTGCGGGGTCTGGGGGAACTGGAATCTCAGACGGAAGTAGGGCTATGAGAGCATAGCCCTACTCCTCTAGGGAGGCAGTGACCTGAGGGTCCTGGGGGGACTTTCTTCCCATATGCTGACCCCAGAGAGAAGTCTCTGGCCACTACTAACTAACGCCAGGTCAGGGGACAGCTGCCTGCGCTCTGAGAGGGGGGACCACCGCCCACTCCCCAAGCTGAGGGCCTGCCCTGGGGCGAGGGGCAGGCTGGGAAAAGCCAGGTCCCAGCTACAGAAGGAGGATGGAGACTGAAGAGGGGTCCCTGGGCACAAAGCAGGAGACACTGGGGTCCTGGAGCCTGAGGCAGGGTGGGCCCAGGAGAGGTGGATTGGGTGTGCCTGTGCTGAGGGGTGGAAGGCATGACTTCTGATCCAGATCCCAGGGCCTGTGCAAGCTGGAACACGAAAGGGCTTGGATCAGATAAGGAACCTAGAGCCTGCCCAGCCCGCAGCCAGAAAGAAGCTTGGATAGTGCGGGTTTCACTCGTTCGTCCCCAAGGTCCAGTTCACAGTCTCTTCCTCTTGTCACTTTCATGACCTGTCCACAGCCCATTCTCTGCTTGGCTGCAGCGTGCGTGTGTGTGCTTGTGTGTATGTGTGCATATGTGTTGTGCACGCACGTGCGTGTGGCAGGAAGTCAACTACCTAACTGGCAGCCCTTCTCCTCCCTGCTCTCCTGGCGATCTAGAACCAGGTTCTTTCCTGGAAACTCCAGAAAACGTGTCTTCACTTCAAAAGACCCCAAAACGTGGCTCCTGACGAAGGGTCTTGTCCAGACTGGGGGAGGGGCCGAGACAGAGGGGTCTGGCGGGAAGTCCGAGCCATGGGGAAAGGGGCGCAGAGGAAGTGCAAGCCAGAGCGAGGGGCCAGGTGGCAAGGGGGCCGAGGAGGAGCAGGGGTGGCAGGGAAGGTAGGGAAGCGGACCGAGAAGCAGAGGCGCTGGAAGCAAACCTGGAGAGCGCGCCGCAAGGGGGCGCGCGCACTACAGGGGACGACGAGGAGTAAGGAATGAAGGACCGCAGCGCACGAGGAGGGCAGGAGCGAGAAGGAAGGGGGGGCGAAAAGGTAAGAAGATATGAGAGAGTGAGGAGGGGAAAGGGAAAAATGGGACGGAATGGAGGGGGAAAAACAGGGCAAAGAGGCTGAGAGAGAACAGGAGGTGGAGAAGGAAAGAGGAAACCTCTTGGAAGGGGCGGGTCTGAGCGTGTCATTAGCGGGACCTGATGCGGCCAGCAGGGAGGTTCCCGTCCTGTCTCGTGGGCACTGGGACTGCTGGAGGGCAAAGGGGCGGGTCCTTCCTCCCAGGCGGCCGCCCCTGGGTGGGGCCAAGCCCTCAGGGGTATAAAAGTAAGGCTAGGACTTGCGCAGCACCTGCACAGACAGCCTTCCAAGCAGGTGCCAGGCAGGTGTCCGAGCAGCGTCCAGCAGAGCCCAGCCCGACCATGAGCTCCTTCGATCCTCCGGGGCCTTCACCCCCACGCGGCAACCCGCAGTTTCCCAGCATCGGCCAAGAGCCCCCGGAGATGCATGCTTACTATGACAACAACGCCTTCCACCCGCAGGGCCTGCCAGCCCCTCCGCGGAACCCCTCCTTCGAGGTGGGCAGTGAGTATGGGGCCGCCACCAACCCGTACGTCTGGTTCAACGGGCAGTCTATGGCGCCGCAGCCCTACGTGCCGAACCCCACCCCCAGCCCCTACATGCCGCAGGCCTACGGGGTGCAGAGGCAGATGCTTCCTGGCATGGCTGGCATGGGGGGTGGCGAGGGGGGCTGGATGCCTGTGCCGTCTCAGGAGGAGCTGATGAAGCTGGTGCGGCCCCCGTACTCCTACTCGGCGCTCATCGCCATGGCCATTCACGGGGCCCCGGAGAAGCGCCTCACTCTCAGCCAGATCTACCAGTACGTGGCCGACAACTTCCCCTTCTACAACAAGAGCAAGGCGGGCTGGCAGAATTCCATCCGCCACAACCTGTCTCTCAACGACTGCTTCAAGAAGGTGCCCCGCGATGAGGACGACCCAGGTACTAGGGGGTCCCGGAGCGTGGGGAGGGGGTCCCGGAGCGTGGGGAGGGGGTGCACTCCCTCGGCAAGCCACCGGGGGGCTCCCGGGGAAGCCTCCCTTCCTTCTGTGCCTCCTGAAACCAGAGGGCGGCAAGGGTGGGGGGGTGAGGGGCGGTGGGAGGGGGCGTCCGCTGTGAAGGAGAACATTCCATTCTGGCTGAGCCTCAGTTTCCCCTTCTGAACAACAGGGACGCGAACAGTGCCTCTTCCAGAGACTTGCGGCGGGGGCTGAGATAGTGCGTGCGTTTTTGGCGCTCACAGGCGCTCTCAGGCGCTCCCAGGAGCTCCCCCGCGCTCCCAGGCGCTCTCAGGCGCTCCCAGGCGCTCCTCGGTCTGCCGCGAAGAAGTCCTGGCGGGGGGGCGGGTGAGAGATCGGACTAAAAGCCCTAGGGGGTCCCTGGGAAGAGATGGAATGTTTCTGAACAGACGCTACGAGCCGCATTGCGCAGCTGCCTTAGTTATACCCCCTCCTTGAACGCGGTGCTGCGGGATAGCTGGCAGGAAGCCCATTCTGCAGATAAGGGAAATCGCAGGTAGGGGGTCGCAGCCCGCCTCGGGAGAGGCCGAGCGAAGGGGCTGTGGCGGAATGTGAGCTGAGCGGAGGTCTCTCCGACGACGCCGGACTGCGGACCTTCCCTGGTGAAGGGTGGGTCTCCGCCATGCGGAGCTGTACGGAGACTCGGAGCCTCGGAGACTCGGAGAGTCGTAAACACGCCCGCCTCTGCTTTGCAGAACCGAAGTCCCCGTTCCAGTTCTCCCGCAGGCGCGAGGCTAGCAAGGGCAGGGCTCTGTCCCTTCCCGTCCCCTAGCTGGCTATACCCTCAGGCCCAGAGATAGGGAGGGGCAGGCAGAGGTCAGGCCTTAGCTCAGCCTCGGACCTCGCAGTCCACACGGAGTGTTTGTGCTTCCCCGTCAGCCGGAGGGAGGAGGGGCAGCTCCCAGGGGCCCACTGCTCAGACTGGGAGACTCCGGCTCCCCCCAGGTCCCTCAGTCCGGGAGGGGCAAAGCCGGGACCCAGTCCTCTTTTGGACTCCAGGCCTGAGACCTCTGGGGAGCCCCGATTTCCTCCCGAGTTTTTTTTCACCTCAACAATGGGAGCACCTGGGTCTCTCCATCCCACCCCACCCCCACGTGGCACTTGAACTTCTTCTAAGGAGGCCTCCTGTGAACAGCCTCAGGACTCAGGCCTTTGTCGTTCTAGCTGCGAGGGGGGCACTCGCCTGAGATGGGTCGGGTGTGGGTGGGGCTGGCTGTGGCTTTCTCCGCTCCTCCGTCCTGGACGTTTGCTCTCTGTCCCGGTGGTTTGCTCTCTGTCCCGGTGGATGCCTCGCCCAAGTTCCCAGGCCTCATGGTCTGATCGGGGCCGAGGACGAGGAACAGGAGCTGAGCCTTTTGTCTGTCTCCCGACTCACCGCTCCCCGCTTTTGCTCCAGGCAAAGGGAACTACTGGACCCTGGACCCCAACTGCGAGAAAATGTTCGACAACGGGAACTTCCGCAGGAAGAGGAAGAGGAAGTCGGATGGGTCCTCCGCCGCGAGCACCTCGACCTCGGAGAAGACCAACAGCAGCCTCCCGGCGGCAGCGGGCGGCGCCAAGACCGCGGATGCCCGAGGCGCCCGGAACACCACCCCGCCGGACGGCCCCAGACCCGCGAAGCAGCTGGCCGTGGCCCCGCCGAGCACCCCGTGCCTCAACAGCTTCTTCTCGTCCATGACCACCTACGTGAACGGGCCGGGCCCCGTGAGCCGCCCCGTGAGCCGCCCCGTGGTCGCGCCGGGTCCGGGCCCCGAGTCTGCTGACAAGATGGGGCAGAGCCTGGTGAATTTCAACACCTACGCCCCACTCACCAACCTTGGCAGCCACGTGGGCCCCCTCGCCAACCAGGGGGTGGGGGTTGAGTGGGCCAACCCCATGCCCGTTAACACTCTGGGCTACGGCTACGGCTACGGCTACGGCTATGGAGGTGCTGTCGGAGGTGCTATGGGAGGTGGTGTTGGAGGTGCTGTCGGAGGTGCTGTCGGAGGTGCTATGGGAGGTGCTGTTGGAGGTGCTGTCGGAGGCGCTATGGGAGGCGCTGTCGGAGGTGGTGTCGGAGGCGCTGTCGGAGGTGGTGTCGGAGGTGCTGTCGGAGGTGGTGTCGGAGGTGCTATGGGAGGTGGTGTCGGAGGTGCTGTCGGAGGTGGTGTCGGAGGTGCTATGGGAGGTGGTGTCGGAGGTGCTGTCGGAGGTGCTATGGGAGGTGCTGTCGGAGGTGCTATGGGAGGTGCTATGGGAGGTGCTGTTGGAGGTGCTGTCGGAGGTGCTGTCATCAGCCAGGTCGGCCCTCATTTCTATGATGGGGCCGACGCCAGCAGCATCTTCTACTCCCCAGAGGGCACCAGCCTCTAAGATGGGGCCCTCCCGAGCCAGAGGGTCACGCTGAGGCCCTCCTGGCCAGCACCCTTGTTGTACATACCTCTACACTGACCAAAGAGGCACAGGAAGCTCAGAGATCTCTATCCTGCTTCTAGAAGGTGATGTAAACCTTCTGTGTGTCCTGTGTACCTGAGCACACTCCCACCAACTTTGCAATGGAAATGCTGGTGCTAGGTTAACAGTAACCGTGGCGGCCATTTGTTGAATGCCTACTATGTGCTGGGAGCCGTACCAGGCTCTTTGAAGGCATGGCCACACTTACTATGTACAGTTACCTTGTGGGGTTCATAGGAACTTCCTCCTTTAAGAGATGAGAAAACTGGGGTTTTAGAAAGTTAAGTAACTCTCCCAGGCCAACACCAACTAAGAAGTGGCAGAGCCAGGAGTACCTCCACCGCCTCCTGGCCATCCCGCAAAACTTAGCCCCAGTCCTGGGCACAGCTGGCCCCGGCCCAGGTTATTCTGTGATCCCCACTTCCCTGCAGACACCCCTTTTGCAAGGAGGGGAACTGAAGCTGTGCCCCCACAGGGCAGTGTGTCCAATCTGTCCCCACAGAGGGGCGTCGCTTACCCAGCTCCGGAGACCTTGAGCAGGGCAGGGACAGGAATGGTGCACCCCAAGTCCTCCACCCCAGGGTTACCCACCTGCAAAACCTTGTATAGCGCAGCTTCTTGGGTGTATGTCATGGGCCGGTGAGCGGGAGGTGGCCGAGTCTTCGGAGAGAAACAGGGAGGAACAGGCACTTCTGTTTTCATAGCCTGGGAGAGGCGACTGCCTGGGAGACGGGACCACCACCTGCACCCGCTACCCGGGGGTCTGGGAGGGGTTTTTCTTGCTTTTATATGTATTTTTGCATGCCTGAGCTCTTATCATAATATACCTTGGGAAATATGGGTTTTTTTTTCTGTTTTCTTATTTTCTTATTAAATAAAAGAAATAAGTATAAAGCCACATGTGTTGCTTCCTTGTGAGTTTCCCTGTTTCTGAGCTGCCGGCCGACTCCACCTGGGGCCAAGTGCATCCCGGGCTGCCCGCTTTGGGGACAGCAGGCAGAGAAAGAACAGGCCCAAGGCTCTTCCCCACCTTCACGCTGGCGTGGAGACAGGACAAGGCCCCCCTGGAAAAGAGGGGAGCTGGCAGGCAGGGGCAGGCACACGGAAGCACCCCATCCACCCTGAGCACAAACTACGGCCTAGGCAGCGCCTGGCGTTCACAGCGCATGCCTCCCTCACAGCTGTGCTGTGACGCCCCCAGCGGCCCCTCGAAGCGGTGGGGCTGCCCCATTATTGAGACAGGAAAACTGAGGGTCCAGGTGGTTGGGCAACGTGCCCGAAGTCCCCAGGTCTACCCAGGGTGTACCCCAGGTCTTCTGATGCCGGCGCCTCATCGCGCCGCCAGATGTGGCTGATCCTGGCGGCGATGGCAACCTCACCGTTGAGTCCAGTTCACGGAGGGCAGTGGGCAGGTGCTGGGGGCGAGGGCCACGCAGTGGGAGCTCTTGTGTCCTCACAACAGCCCGTGAGTGTGTGAACGGGCAGAGCGTGGGGGTGCCTGGCACAGCGCACACTGAGAATTGTGCGTGGAAGCTGGAGGTTTCCTGGCGGGAGTCCCCTCCTCGGACGTGCACACAGAAGGCTCAAGCCAGGCCCCCTGACTGCCTGCACGGCCATGCCAAGCTGCCCCCGCAGGCTCTGCAGGGCTCTGCTGCCCAGAGTGGCACCCGGGGGGGCGGTGGATACCAGCAACAATAATGGTGATGCCAACGGCTGCCACTGCAGGTGTGCCCCGTGCCAGGCACTGTGTGAGGACTTGACCTGTCCTGTTGGACTTGATCCTCCAGACAACCCCAATGCAATCAATGCTATTGTCTCTATCTCACGGGAGAGAAGACTGAGGCCCGGAGAGGGACGTCGTGTACCTCGGTGAAAGAGACGCAGCCAGGATGCCAGCACAGATTGGCCGACGCCACGGCTGACTGCCACCCGGTGCACCACCGAGCCCTGGGGAGACCGGGACTGACCGCAGGAGAGCAACATCGGGGAAACCGGGATGTGAAATATGGGCCTCCCCGTGGCTCCTTTCCAGGGGGATCCCTTTCCGCAGGGAGCTAAGGTCTCCCGGCCGTGGAGGTGGGGGTGGGGGTGGCCGAGAGCAGAAAAGGGAGGGGACACAGTGTGGGACAGCCCATGGCCCCAGAAAACTTGGAACGGGCTACGCCTTGCTGCTCAGAAAGGAACCCTGAGTCTGGGAGAGGAAGGGACTCCATGGGGTCACCAGGGAAACAAGGTCATAGGCAGAGTTAACATACAGGCCCCTGAAGCTTTTTGTCCCACCAGATCCCGCCGCCGCCCAATTTGCCCAATCCTGCAGGCCTACCGTTTCCGTCGGTAACGCCCCTGCCAGCCCCTCAGGCCCCCTCCTCCGCCACAGGAGGCCGGCCAGGGGTGCCGACTGGGCAAGGGGCTGGGTGTGAGGGGTCTCGAGCGGGGCCAGCCTCCCCGGAGGTGGGGAGGGGAGATGGCCATGTAGAACCAAGGTCCCCCACACTGCATTCTTGGCAGCCTGAAGTTCATGGGCACAGCAGTGAAAGGAACGTCTGCAGGGCTCTGACCGCACGAAGCCCCTGCCAGTGCTTGTCTGCGATGCGTGGGGAGTTCCTGGTAGCGGCGCCAGGAGCTCCTGGAAGGGGAGGTGCACGGGGTGCCGGTCCCGGGGCTGAAGGGCAGGACCCAGCTCTGGAAAGGGGTCTCCCTGGTCAGCTTCCTCGGGCTGGCCTGGCCTGGCCCGTCCTGTGGTTCTGTTGCCCTGAGAAGAAATGAGGGCTGGAGAGGGGGAGGGAAGGGGGAAGAGACAGAGGCAGGGGACCTGGTTACTCACTAACAAGTGAGCAGCATGCACGTTGCTATGGACGGACGTTGCGTTTATTAGCCTCCCACCATTTGGCATTGCCCGGAAGACAGGACCCCCTATGCCAAAAAAGGGCCTGAGGAGACAATTTCCTGTATGTGGGAGAGTCCAGAAAGCCTATCTGGAGGAGGCAAGGCTGGAGCAAAAGGACAGTAGAAGCCCACTAACGCAGAAGTGTCTCCAAACCACTGGTTTGCACACTCATCCTCCAACCACCTATTTTCAACCCCCAACCCTGGGCTAGGCGTCTAAATGTCCATGTTATGTGCGCGGGGGCAGGGCAGGGGAGTACGCCTCAAGGCAGAATACTCACGTAAATACATGACATTCTTAAGAGAAAAGGGCATTGGCCCTGGATGACCGAAGCTCCAAGGGGCGGGGGCGAGGTGACAGTGAGGGAGAAACAGGACTCGAGAGCTCCCTGGTTCCCGGCCCAGGAGGCCCAGGAGGCCCAGCGCCCCCCAGCACCTCCTCCCCGTGCCCCCCTCCTCTTGTGTTAGCATGGAAAGGATATTGTAAAGGCCAAATTACACAACCAAAGAGGAAATCCAAAGGCAGAGCAGGGAGGGAATAATAGAGAGGACTGTGGGGCTCCCAGGGTGATTCATTATTGTTCTTTAAGGTGAGAAGAAGGAAAAATCATTGATCCTGGAAGAAGAAATGGGGCCTGGCTGAGCCCCGAGCTGTGGGAGAGGAGTCCAGTCCAGAAATCCCGGGGGCATGTGGTCGCGGAGTGAGGGGGAAGGGCGGGGGGAAGGGCTGCAGATACTTAAAGAGACATCTGTCTGTCCGAGACTGCAGATGGGAACTTCCACAGGGCTAGCTTTCCCTGCTTGCAGGGGTGGGGGTGGGGGCGTTGGCAACACTTGGAGCTGTCCCCACGGAGGTGCCTCGTTGCCAGTCTTCAGGCTGCAGTACCTAGCCCGAGCCCCGCCTTTTGCAGGGGAGGAGGTGCAGACTTGGAGAGCCAGAGCAAAGAAAGAAGGTGGCCCAGTGAGGAAGTGGTGGAGAGGCAGCCGAACACAACTCCAGGTCCTGCCTCCCAGGGCACCCCCCCCCAGGCCACCCCCTCCCAGGGCACCCCCTCGGTCCCGGGGGTTGCGATTGGTGCCAGGTGGGATCTCCCAACGACTGGGCCACTGGCACGATGATTGATAGATGGGCATGTAGCTGCCCACTGCTTGGGTATCAGCTGATCCAGCCAGCGACCAGGATTAACTAACGGGGAGGCAGAGCAGAGGACAGGACAACCAATGGGCCCTTGATGGGTCACAGAGGCGTCCCTGCGCGTATGGAGGGGGGTGCTGCCCACACCGGGCGGGGAGAAGGGAGCTGGTCAGGAGGCGGGGACAAGGGATGCGTTTCAACAGTTCCTCCCTTTACATTCTCGTGCACCGCTGAGGGTGGTGAGGACATTTCGAGCCCAGATTTGCCCGCGGTCTGCAAAGGATCTTTAGGCTCTGTCTGGGTGTAAGATGACTTAGGACATAGAGTTGAGAGGACAAAATAAGGACACAGTTCAAGGGTCTAGGTCAAAGGTCAGAAAGCTTCTATAAAGGGCCAAATAGCAAACACTTGACACTCTGAGGGCCGAGAGACAAAACCTAAGATACTATGAAAAAAAAAAAAGAGAGAAAAGAATTCTCCTGAAGTTGTATTAAGGAAAATAATAATCCTCCAGTCCAATGCGTCGGAATACAGTTCTACTGATGAGACGGTGGGATGCTTTGGCGGGGGGCGGCTAGCATCTCATCTCATTCAGACTCCCGTGCAGGTGGGCCCACCCGCGACTGGGATCTGCGGTGGGTGCCAGGGGCTCCTATTGGAGGGCGCCTGTGCGGCCTCCCTGGGGTTTGCAGCGCACGGAGCCGCGTAGGGCTGGGTGCGGCCCCAGCTCCTCAGCTCTGCACCTGGCAGAGGCCCCAGAGATGGTGGCCGCACAGGTGAGCGTGTCTCCTTCCAGCGAAACTGTGTGGACCCTGAAATGTGACTCTCGTGTCCTCTTCACACATCACAGTATAGGCTTCTTCTGTTATTTTTGTTTCAATCATCCAGGGAGCTAAAAAAGAAAACATTCTCATTCCATGGGCCTCACAGACGTGCGTGGTGGGCCAGGGGTCACGGTCTCACGGGACTCGCTAAGCGGTTCATAATCAGGACTGTCCGGGCAGCTAACCGTCTCTTCTGACCGGTGGGGAGGAGACAGACACCTGCGAGAA